GATGTGGCGATGGCGGCTCCCGGGGCCGCTCCGGGCCGGGGGAGGTCAGGGAGGCTTGGCCGCGCTCCGAGGGCCCGCCCGTGCCTTCTGGGGGGTTCAGAAGACCGGGGGGGAACCTTCCCGGGAGCCTGGGGATCGCGGTGGGGGGGTCTCGGGCGGGCGGTGCAAGGGTTGACCCCGGAGAGGTACCGAGGGTCCCGGTGGGACTCCCGGCTGGGCTGTGGTGGTTTGGGGGGGATCTTGAGACCGGGAAGGGGAGACCCTGCGGGGACTCTTCTCCCCTCCCGGCCCTGCCCGAGACCCCCCCGCTCTGTCCCGCAGGTCCCGGCGGCGCCGCGGTTCCCCGGGCGGGGCTCAAGAAGCTGGCGCTGCCCCCGGATTACAGCGGTGAGAGGAATGGGCGGCGGGAGAACCCCGCGAGGGCCGGTGGGGGCACTCCCCACTCTGTTCCCGGAGATCCTGGTCCTCATGTTCCCCTGCAGGGATCACCATCCCGGAGAAGCCGAAGCTGAAGTTCATGGACAAGGTGCCGGCGGTGCCCAAAGTCCGGCGGGAGCCCCGGCGGCTCCGTGACATCCGTGGCCCGTCCCAGGAGGCCACCGACTTCACCCAGGGCCAGTACGGGATCCTGGTGAGCGGGAACAGGCACGGAACGGATCGGGGGGAGAATTCCAGACGCTGGGATCGCGTGTCCCTGTTCCCAGGCGGGGCGCAGGAGCCTCCGTGTCCCTGAGCTGTCCCACCCTGTCCCTCCACAGGCTTTGGGCGGGGGGTACCTGCACTGGGGCCACTTCGAGATGATCCGCCTGACCATCGGCCGCAGCATCGATCCCAAATCCATGTTTGCCGTGTGGCGCGTGCCCGCCCCCTACAAGTCGGTGACGCGGAAAAGCCTGGGACACCGGATGGGGGGCGGGAAGGGCCCCATCGACCGCTACGTGACGGCGGTGAAGAGCGGGAGGCTGGTGCTGGAGGTGGGCGGGCGCTGCGAATTCGGGGAGGTCCGGCCCTTCCTCGCCCGCGTGGCCCAGAAACTGCCCTTCCCGGCCGTCCCCGTCAGCCGGGAGAGCCTCCAGGAGATGCGGCGGGAAGAGGAGGAGAAAAGGCTGAACAACCAAAATCCCTGGACTTTCGAGCGTGTGGTGACCTCCAACATGTTGGGGATGAGGAAGTACCTGAGCCCCTACGACCTGCAGCTCAAGGGACGCTACTGGGGCAAGTTTTTCCTGAAGCACAGAGTGTGAGGTGCGTCTGGATTGGATTCCTTTTGGAATTAAACTTTTCACAAGAGCCTGGAGTAGGTTTTGGAGCTGGGAATGCAGGGCTGGGAGCGTCCTGAGGGATAGATGGATCAGGGTTTGAGGCACGAGGATCTTTATCCCAAGGTGGGGTTTGGAGCTGGGGGATAAATGGATCGGGGTTTGAAGCACGAGATTCTCTATCCCAAAGTGGATTTTAAGAGCTGGGAGCATCCTGAGGGATCCACGGATCGGGTCAGAGCCAGGAGGCAGAGTGTGGGTGAGCTCTTTATTGAGGAGGAAGGCTCCAGCATGGGTGGCTGCACATCCAAGGAGCTCCAAGCACAGGGAGAGGCTCCTCCGGCCTCCCCGGCAAGGCAGAGCCCTGTGTCCCCCTCCCGAGAGGGACACGGCCCCTCCGGCCGCTCCGTGCCACCGAGGAGGGGCTGCTTGTCACAGCGGCCACCGACTGTCACCCGAGTGGAGGAGGAGGAGGAGGAGAGAGGAGACCTTGGTGCTGGGAGGGGAGTGGGGGGTGCAGTGGGAGGGCTCCACTCCTCCAGGGACACGTGGGATGTCCTCGGGGATCAGGGCTTGGCCGGGATCTCTCCGATGGATCATCCGGGCAGGGGGACAGGAGGGGGAAAGGCCACCTGTGACAGGGAGGAAGATGAGGGGACACTCAGGAAGGGGACGTGTCTCCTAGTGCTGTCACCATCCCCCTCCCTCCCTAGCATGGCAACCTGGGGACACTCAGGGTGAATCCAACCCCAGCAAGGCCTGAACCCGCTCCCTGGGATTGGGGTGTACCAGGGACCCCCCTGTGCCACCCCCAGCCCTGTCCCTGTCACCTGGAGGGCAGCGGGTGAGGAGCTCAGGCGAAGATGCTCCCGATGCTGGATGCCAGGATGATGGCGAGGATGATGCAGCACAACATGATCATGATCTTCTTCTGCTCGGGGAGACAGTGAATGTGAGGCAGGGACACTGCTGGGGAGGGGGACAGGGACAGGGAATGGGCTGGGCAGGAACACAGGATAAGGATGGGGCTGGGGAGGGGGGCAAGGAATGGGGAGGGGGACAACAAGGATTGGGGCTGTGGAGTGGGGAGAAAGGACAGAGATAGGGCAAAGGACAAGGACAGGGGCTGGGGAGGGGACAGGGAAGGTGGCAGGACAGGTATGAGCTGGTTCTGTGTAGCACAGAGAGGTGACAGTGCCAGCATGCTCTGGGACAGGTGACCAAACACTGACTTACCCAAAAACTTGGGGCGGGGGTGGAGTGTCTGGACAGGGCCAGGA